AATAAGGTATACATACAGCCTTGACCCGGGAAACTATGATGGGGACATGTCAAACTTTGCTCTACGTATAGCCCTCTTCTTCTCGGCACGATACTCAGCATCGTGCGCAGGCGTAAGCTTCATAAACACCGTCCAAAGTCCGGCATCTGTCCGCCCTGCCAAGATCATCTTGTCACGTATCTCCTGACTAGCGCTGTACCACCTCAGTCGGTGAGAGTAATATGTCGAGGATACAAATGACACCTTGAAGCGTGCTGTGAAGAATGGGCCGATGGCTTGATTGGTGTGCACAAGAGCGTCGAGCTCCCCAAAGGCATCCCGAATGTCGCAAGCATAGAAGTCCTGTGGCCACCTTTTGAAGTACTCATACGAAGCTGGGGAGAGAGGGTCATTGCTCCCAGCATCAATATCGATGGCGTTATCTATTGATGTACCACAGGTGGGAGCAACCAGCGCAAGCTCAACACATTCTTGCTTGATTACAGCTGCAGGTGATGCGGGAACCGAGGATTGTGTCGACGAGATAGACTGAGAAACACAGATTGAGCCAAAAGATGACAACGGCGCCAGAGAGGACACTGATGAAGATGACGGAGATGGGAGAGATAGACCTAAGCCGAGTGGCGAAGAGACGACTCGCTTCTTCACCTGATGCTCATCACGTAAGGGCGGAGAGCTGTCAAGCCGTCTCTTACTTGATGACGGTGTTGTCTGGATGACCTCAGAAGCCCGGCGCACAGACGTGCGCTCCAGTCGCAGTGAATCGCGGAGATGTGGCTTGCTCTCCATCATCGCCATGTCAAACAGTCGATCAAGGCTGCGACAGATGCCTACACAGGTTGCGCGCAGAAATAGATGCTGATTGTATTGTCGCACATCGACAGTATGCCCTAATCGGATGGTGTACCAGCAGCGAACATTGTTTTCATAGAGCTGTGCACAGCCGATGTTCTGAGGGTCGATCGGAATCTTCAGGCTGCAGAGCGTAGGTTCGTCGAGTGTGAACGTTGGCCAGTGGAAGCCGTCCTGGATGACAACCGCCTCTGGCTCCCGTTCATCTTGAAAGATCGTCAGTAAGATATGGAGAGTGATGCTGTAAAGTATACGCACATCTAGCCAGATATACACTGTCACCTTCTGTCTAACCCGCTTCTCTGCTTCTAACCGCTGTGTTTCATCCTGTCGCCGCTTCTCGTGCATCTCCTGCTCCCGCCGGTACTGCTCCGTGAAGATTGCAGGCAACTGAGAGATATACCGTGCATCAGGCCGTGGATCGGTTGCTGGCATTGATCTTGGGTCACGTTGCTCACGAAGTTCATCCTGGGTTGATTGAGGGACACCAATAGGCACTGATACGGCGTTAGAATCTGTGGGAGGAAGACCGTCTGAGCGAGAGGCTGAAGCAGTGATATCCAAGCCAGACGCAGCTAACCCAGACCTAGAGGCAGATGCAGAGACAGACGCTAGCGGCTGAGATGCTGGCAGAGGAACAGTCTGGAGAGCAACAGATGAGGCAGTTGGGTAGAAAGCACCCGGTAGAGCATGCGTCTTGACCGGACAGCCACCCTTCTCTCTGCAGTGCTTGCGGCACATCTCACGCATGCAGCCCAGATGTATACGTCCATTGCCGCAGTTGCAGCCCCACTTGCACTGCTTCTTGCTGCCCGAAGCATCTGTACCCGGCAGAATTGGCTCATTACCAGGATCACTAGATCCCATGAGTATGATAGTCCGTCCGTCTTGCTGAAGCTCGAGGAGTTCCTCCTCAGATGGGTCACCATGGTAATAGACAACGGGTGCCTCCCAATCCAGGCTTTGCTCGTCCGCAAGTTCCTGAAGAGTCGCAAGGTAAGACGGTGCAAGGATCCCATGATTCTCTAGGGGGTTGCCGAGCTGTTTCGGTATACGGCGCCTCCTACCAGATCCCGCTGAAGTGACAGAGTCATCTGACGGGGGGTTGTAGACCGGAATAGGTGCAGGATCATGAGCAGCTTCCATAACAGGGGCTCCTTGCACATCCGACGCCGTAGCCCACCGGAAATAGTTGCAGCGGCCCGTTGGCGAGTTGATGTTCATCCTCTCGCACTATTGTATCAGTATCAGCATCAGCATCAGCAACAAGGAAGCAGGGTAGAGCCCCCTTACCTTTGCATACAATTTTCCGTAGTTGCCGTTCTTCTTGGATTTAACAGGCTTGATTATAGCTGGTTGTCCACAGTCTGTACAGATATGCATATATACAGCGGCAAGTAATATACAATGATGTGTCGCATGTAGTGGAAGTATCGCCTAAGGGTAATGGGGTAGAAAGAAGTAGGGGGGAGGAAAAGAGACGAAAGAAAGAGAGAGCACAGTCCCAACTGGAATGACAGCGGATGTGAAGAGTGAACCCATGTCGTAGCCACTGCATCATCAGCCACCATGGACGGCTTGGACAGTCCGGCTGACCTGGACGTCCCGGATTCTCGAACTCTCAGATTTCCTG